ACAGTCCAGGTGTGCCGTGGCTGTCCCACTGCTGGCGTGCTCCGAGGCTTTGCTCCCCGTCTCCCTGGTCTGACCAGCAGACCAGGGAGATGGGGAGCAGCTTTTCTCGCCCTGGAGAACGCGGGCGGCGGGACCGCGGCTCATCTGGGCGTCCCACCACTCCCGTCCTCCGGGGCGAGAAAAGCCCCGTTCGTAACTGCGGATCCGACATAAGTCGGATCCGCGTAACTCGGGGACTGACTGTATTCACCTAGCTCTAGTCCTCAAATAAACTTACCACCTGTACTCCCACAATTTGAACATTTTGAGCCTCTAAAGGTAGTATAAGCAATAATATGTATAATAATAATTGTATATATCTAACACAGTTTATCCAAAAAATTCAAAATATTTTACAACATTTAAATGTCACAACACTTGAGGTTAGTAATTATTATGCCTCTTCCATGGACAGGGTGAAAGAGCTACAGAGATGTTAAGTGATTTGTCCAATCTACACAGTAACTCAGTGGAAGTGCCAGGAATAAAATCCATAAATCATGGTAATAGCTGTCCATCAAATCCACTGTTGAAATTCTGAGTGTCACAATGCTTATTTTGGTTTCTGGACTGAAATTGTCCTTTTGTGCATATGCTTTTGTGCTGTGAACAGATTGTAAACTGACTGTGCACCATAATTGTGTTAAAACCAGTCCATCTCCAAAGTGATAGTACAGCCAAATCAAAAAGTGTTGTTTGTCTTAAATAAAAAGTTTGCCTTACAGCAACTTTGTTACGACTTCTTTAACCATTACCCCTATTCCAGACAAGGTTATGTCAGTAGCTGGGTACTGTATCAAGCCAAAAACAGTGCCTCATGGAATTGCATTGTCCTGGATGGGAAAGCTGATAGTCCATACAATATTCACCACAATAGTGTTTCTATCCAAAGTCATGAATCTTCTATAATCTTGGCCACATCTTGTATGATTAATTTATGTGATGCTTCACAAAAATTCATGGTGATGAAGCAGTTCCAGTGTTCTGTGGAGTGTATCTCTAATGCCCTGAATATCACATTTGGGGAAATAGGAGAACACACTGCAGTGAAGTTGACGACACTAGATTACAGTTGCCGGACATGGAGGAATCGGTACTGTTATCTTAGGCAGAGGAACAATCATAATATTCAGCTTGTGACTGTCACTTTTAATGCAGATATTTTCATCCCTTGGAATTTTAGGTTTTTATGAAAACCTTGATGGCTATGTCACTTCATCTGCACGTGACTTTGAAAACAATTTTTCAGTGTACTGGCAGTTCTGAAAACCTGAAGAAATAATTAACCTCTGTTTTGGGCTATTTTAGGTTAAATCCTTAAATAAAATGTGAATGAAATTTGACAGGAAAAGTCATTTCAAATCAAAAAGATAAAATATTTCATGTGAGCATACTAAAAATGAAGTGTTTCAATTTTGTAAATTTTTGAGTTTCTGACCAAAATAACACAGTTAATTCAACGTGAATGTGAACATTTACTTGTTAAAACTGAAGGAACAGCAAGTGAACTTAACTAACTCAAATAAATGTGATTGCCAGACTTATGATTGGCTCACTCCAGTTCTGCTCCTTTATGAAGGAGCTCTGTGAAGGTGGATTGCAGGCCTTCATGAGTGTGTCTGCATGCTTTAGTCTACCCCTTGAAAGCATTCTATTATTATTTTTTAATTAGACTCAGTGTGTGGTCCATTCGTCTCACTTTGATCCAAATACTTGTGAACTTTGAAGAGTTATTCTGCTGCATTCGCTTTGTGGTGGCATTCTTTGTCCTGTATTTTGTGGGTGGGTGGGGAATGGGGTTAGGCTACAAAGGAATCTTGAATAAGCATTACACAGCTGTTGATAATACAAAACATTCACCAATGAAGGATTTTACTCAGATATCACATGATATTTTGGAACATATGGCACATAGTGAAATTCACTGTGGGCCTCAGCAGTTGTTGTTTTGGATAGCAATATTTTTGTCCTTTGTACAATTTGAAGCAGACTTTTCCATGGATGTTAGGGGAAGTAAGATAGGAAAATATACCTGCCATGGTTGTATTGAGGAGACTTTTTTAATGCAAGATAAAAGGGAAGGAAGAATATAATTTCCTTGACAAATACAAAGAGGGAAATGTCCATACCCTGGTAATTAGCTCTATTGTCTTCATGTTTTGCAGAGATCAGCAGATGTATAGAGATGGGTAGAAGTGAGAACCACCTTAGCAGGAGGATTTCACTTTGGCTACGTCTAGACTGCAAGCCTCTTTCGAAAAAGAGCATCTAGACTACAACAGTCTGGATGCTCTCTTTCAAAAAAGCACAGTTTGCTTTACATAGTGCCTTTTTTCAAAAGAGCACTTTCGAAAAAAGGCATTTTTCGTCATA